TACTAAACAAAGCAACTAGCTAGAAAACAAATAACCCTTACTCTCCAACTGAATCCAACTTAGAAATTCTATAATAAATGACTCACAAGGTCCAATATTCAGAGTTTAACCTTCACAATTGAACAATAAACGAATCGAATAAGCCAACCTTAATGACAAGTAGTTCAGTTACACATAAAAAGTAAATCAATCACAATCCACAAGTAACTTAAGCATAAGCATCAAGTGCATCAACTCACAATGATTGATCTTTTACTAGAATCATTTCTCATTGGCACAATATATCACTAGCCGAAACCATTTTTAATTAGCTTTATATCACATCACTAGTCAGATAGGTTTCATAACACTCGCCAGCAAAGACCTTGGCATAATAGCACTTACCAACAAAGACACCAACACAATAATTCAACACACGTCTCATCAACGTCTCATCATGGTGTTTACAATAAATGCATACATGCATTATCACACCATATGGAAGAAAAAACAAATAATAAAATTCAAATCCATAATTGTACTTTCAAACATTTCATCAATCAATCAACAAAGATCACGATAAGGCAATTCACATCCATGTTCATCACATGACCTTTTTCATTTCAACCTCTTTTTATTTAGTTGGATGTAACAACTGGACAATTTACACCCTTCACCTCATCATCTTACTCACAACTACAATCAAACGAAGGAAGCATACAAATTCAACTAGGATACAAGGTTTAGGAAGCCATATAGTTGAGCTTTCCCCTTCAAAATCACTTTTAAAGACAAACAATCTAAAGTAATTAAGTATTCACCATCACTTTTCAGAAATAACAACACCCACAACAATTTCTTGAAAGACGAACCAATCAACACAATATCCAATTTCAAAAATTAAGATTTGAATCTGAAATTTAATACTTGAAAACATTACTCAAGGTTTAAAGAACTCATTAGAAAAAAAACATTTCAAAATAGGACATGAAATCAATTCACAAACTCCATTTAGTGAAGAACTTGGTTTCTCAAAAAAACTCATCATTCACCAATCAAAACCTCGTATTTTATGTTAAAACTTATCATTAATCAATGAAAAAAGAAGGTTTAGAGAAATAATCAAATTTGAAAACTTTTCAAATTTGATTATTTCCAAAAAACGATTTCTTTCTAATTCTAGATACTTCTAGTAGCGAGGTGTTACAAATTCTCATAAAATAGAAAAATAATAACAAATATGAAAAGAACTATACATATGTAACACAAAGAGAAATTAAGAGGAATAAGGTTATTACTTTAGTTTTTGGTGGTTTGTATAATGTCAAGTTGTGAATTCAAAGTCACAGTGAAATATGAATTGAAGGCTAAATGACAAAAAAACATAACTACTTAGATATTGAGATTAATATTTATGTATAGGTAAAAGTAGTAAATTACTATAGTCTTAATGATAATCGATTTAACCAACCTAATATTGAAAATCAATACCGAACCACTAACCCAATATTTTCTTATAAAATCATTCAAAATATGTTAACCTAATAACCAAATAACAATAGACCAATAACACTTTTTTTTGTTCGATTTATTGATCAGTTCAATTTTTGCACACCTCTAGTGTTGAGTCTGTCCTTGGCTTCACCCCTATCATTTACTCCTTTTACACTTGTAGCTTTACTTGTTTGGATTCTATTGTAACACCTCGCTACTAGAAGTATCTAGAATTAGAAAGAAATCGTTTTTTGGAAATAATCAAATTTGAAAAGTTTGACAAAGTTAAGCTAAGTATGAGTTTTGGGTTTACTATGACCATAACTCCTAGCTCAGGATGATTTAGTTGTTCTACAAGATACCATATGAAAGATCTTTGAGTTATATTTCCAAAGCCACCAAGTTTTCTTAGTTTCGAGTTCGTATGAGAGAGATATGTTCATTTGAAGTTGGGTTGTTTAGATAAAGAAAATCAAGATCAGGTTTTAGAAAGGTATTATGGTCTTTTCACTATCCAATCAATTAAATTCTTTTTTGGTAAGTGATTCGGGTCTAAACTGAATTGGTTTAGTTTGCACATTGAAGATTACAGTAGGGGTTTTAGAGAAATAAGTCAAGAGGAGAAAGGAGAAGAAAAGGTCTAGATTCGTCGATTTCTTGAGAAATCGGCTGTGGATTTCACCAAGGATTTGATCCGGCGAGGTATGTTATTTCACATAGTTTTGGGTTTGTTCACCCACGCACCAAACATGTTTAATTCAAGGTACTTTCATCCGAAAAGATTGAGAATTTGATGTTCTTGAGTTGTGTTCTTGAAATGCTTTTGTTCTTGAATTTGGCATGAAATTGAGGAGTTTTTTAGAGTTTACTATCGATTATAAGAGTTTCCTTGAGTTACATTCTTGTGTATATATTTTGGGTACTTGAATCTAAAGAGAATTTGAGAAAAAAAATCAAAATTAATCAAATTAAGGTTATAAAACAAGAGAAAAATTCGTCAGTTTTGCCCGGAAGGGTGCACAAGCAACGTGCACCCGTTGCGCCAAAAAGGCTGGGGCGGCATGTCAGCAGTGTGCTAGAAGTGTCTCTTTGAACATTGGGGCTGGCCCGGTGCCAATAGTGCGCCAATGCCATCCCGCCAACCCTTTTTTCATCGTTTAGACTGTTTGAGTCCTTCTAAAATGTACTAACACTTCCTATCGAAACTAAGTACTCCAAACGACCTTTAAACACCCAGAAATCACCTATAAAAATGAATTATGACTTTGAATCCATAAGTTCTAATTGAAGAAAGAGCCAAGTCTAAAAAGTTCTTAGAGTTTTTTCAAGAAGCTTTTTACAAATACTTTTTAATCTTATTTTAAGACTTGAGCTTTGAGTTAAGTAAGAGTAACAAATGAAGTTCATTGCTTCAAAACGAGTATAAGGGGACTAAGTATTCACAAGTAAATGTTTTCACATCTAAACAATAGAGGAAATACTGATTTCAAAAAGAGTTTTTAAGCTAGTTGTAGAGTAATTATCTCAAACCACAGAAAGAGTTTTTGTTTTAAAACATATGAGTTGATTATTTTGAGAGTAGTATTGAGCACAGATGTGGGGACAATTTCAAAACAACTCAATGTCTCCATAAACCATGTAGCCAAGGTGGGCAGAAGAAGGTTATATTTTTAGATTATTCCTTAGTGCTTTTCAAAACAGACTAGTAGATCTATTTAGTTGAGGCATTCTATATCCCGATAAGTTATATGACAGCTCTGACAGCGTGAACGAGACGATGTATTATCACATAGCTCATAGCGATTGTTGTTGCTTAGAGAAACTCCCACAGAGGTATATTACTTTATTATATATGTATATTGAGTTGTTTCTTACTATTTTAATTGCTTCATATAAACCACATCTTTAATGTTGTTTAATTCTGCATTTGAGGTATCCATGTGTTTGAGAAAAGTTGAGGTAGGTGTTTCTTTCAGATTCAAGTTCAAGCATATGTTTTGTTTAGAATTTCCCTTGCATGCTCGTACATTCAATGTACTAAAGTCATTTGACCTACATAATTTTATGATATAGATACAGGTGACCAGGATCAGCACCCAACGCCTTGTTAATCCAGTCGAGCACTCAAAGTCAGTTGGTGAGTCTCCTTGCTTTCTGGAGGATCCCTATTTACATTGCTTTAGTATTTTCAATTGTAAGGATGATTGAAGGTCTTGTCCCGACACCCCTTACAATTTAGAGGCTTCATAGACAGTTAGTTAGTTCATTTGTCTTCATATTTTAAATTTGTTATGTTGAGATTGGTGTCTGTCTTATTGGCCAGTTGAATGTTTCCTTTACAACATTCTAATTTAATATATGAATTTATCTTTATTGAGTAAAGTCTTTCGCTGAGTAGTAATTAGCCAGGACATGTGTTTGCTTGGAGCCAACAATGGTTCTCGAGTGCCAGTTTCGTCCATGGTGTAGGCTCAGTGCGTGACACTTCTGTAGCACATTCCACATTTTTTATTTTAGTTTCCCTTCATCATGCTATGGCTGCATAATTCTGGTAGGTCTTCATATTCTACCTTCTGAGTAAACTTTTCTAAACCTCCTCCTATATTCCTAATCCTAACTATGAACTCCCTTATTTTGGGTTTGACTAAGTCTAGTTCTACCCTAATTTTAGTTGTTTGCTTTTTGTAGATGTGACTTTGTCCATGGTTAAAGGATAAACATTAGGGTCCACAATTCTACACAGGGCATTCCACTTAGAATTGTCAGGAGAAGTTCGAGGGGGTAACCCATACAAAGTTTTGGCCTATGGTTTTTTTGGTGCAGTGTCTGTGTTTGCAATAATCACGATTGCGGTAAAAAAAAAACGACCCATTGGCAGACCCCAAAATAAGGATTATTTTGATTTTTTAAAATCTTGAAATCTCCTTTACAAGCAAATTTTGATAACTAAAATATATGACGAGATGAATGTGATATCTTTATCACCTACTAGCATTTTTTGGTTGGTGTTTTGACAATAATAAAACTCATAGTGGGTAACACTTTTCCTCCCTATGCGGAGATATAAAAATAAATTGAACAAGAGCCATGAAAAGTTGGAGTAATAAATAGCGAAGAGAGGGTATTCACCTGGTAAATATTATCATTCTCCGATCTTAATATTGTAGATTTGAATCATTGAAAGAGCTAACAAAAGTCTCGATAAAGAGATATAAAAGATTAAAAAAAAAAAAAAAGAGAAGAAAATATAATACTAAATAAAAGAATACAGAAAGAAAAGGAGAATGAGCATTTGGTGGAGGAATTTAGTCACATGATGTTGTTTAATTTGAGATGATGTTCATAATGTAGATATTAAAATTAATTAATTAAATCGTGGAAAGTTAAGACGAAAATTAAAGAATTTTTAATTTGTACATGTTGGTGTCATATCCACTTGTGTCCTTCGTATTCCCTTCCATCCATCCTATCATGTGGCGCAGCAGACGCTCCCAACTGGATCTCCGAATTCCCTATAAAATCACCCCAATATCCCAAAATATCTTGTTAACACTCTTTCTCTCAACGCTCCTAAAAAATGGCATCTCATTTTTTTAACCTTCTCTTCACCTTTTTACTTGTTCTTCTCTTCCATATCTCCCCTTCCACATCTCTCACATGTTCTTCTCAAACTTTCTCATCCAACACTCGTTTCACCAATTGCACTGATCTACCTTCTCTCAAATCATTCCTTCATTGGACATTTGATCCGGCTAAATCCACTCTTTCTGTCGCTTTCCTCGCATCTCCAGCTTCACCTGATGGCTGGATTGCTTGGGGAATTAACCCCGTTGCACCAGCTATGATTGGAACACAATCACTAATTGCATTCAAAGATTCTAAAGGGGTTATGACTGTTAAGACCTACAATCTTACTTCTTATAAATCAATAACAGAGTCTAAACTTATGTACAATGTTGTCGATTCAAAAGCAGAGTCAGCTGATGGGATGATGAAAATCTTTGCTACTCTGGAGTTGCCGGCCAATACGAAGACAGTGAATCAGGTATGGCAGGTTGGATCAGCGGTAACTGATGGAAGGCCCGCGATACATAAGTTTGAACCTGATAATTTGAAATCTAAAGGGATTTTAGATTTGGCTACTTCGGCTGATAATAAAACAAATGCTACTTCTTCTTCTGCTAGTGCTGGACAAAGTGGAAATGAAACTGGAGGATCTTCAACAATTTTGAAAACTGAAACTAATTTTTTTGCCTTCTTGTTCTTCATTGGGGTTTTGCTTTTGCAGCTTTAATTTACATGTGGTTCAAGTTTCTTCTTCCATCTTCAGTTTCATGGATGTAATAACGACTATTTAATTAGTGCTAGTCCAAATTTATGTTTGATTATATATACATCTTGTAATAATAATGTTCTTCTTTATCTAATGTATGCAAACTAAAACTTCATTTTCTTTGTAGTATAATTTTAAAATTATGAAAGCATTTTTTTCATGTGTATCAAAAAAGGATTTTCTGACACTGGACATGAAGTTTAGAGGTACAAGTGCTGCTGATAGGCTTGTGTTGGACATAATTTGATTTCAGCTACCGACTCGCGGAGGGGAATAAAAATGGAAAAAAAATATATGAATGAACGTATAAAAAGTAATTGATAAATTAAAAGTTAAAAATTATAAAGAAGATATTACTTACTTTTTAATTTTTTTTTAAAATAATTTAAAAGCAAGTGCTTTTAAAAACACTTTTTATTCTTTCCAAAAAAAAAAAAAGTTTAAAAAAGTCAAAAGTTCCTAAAAAGCAAGTTCATTCAAATGGCATGTCCAAGAGAAATCTTCCATATCATTCGCGCTTTTTATTTCAGTTGATTATTTCTCGAATTAACTTAAACGTTAACTAATGCTCATATGGATCAAGTATTCAACGTCACTTCTTTGTTACTCTAAGGGCTCATTTGATAGTTAGAGAAAACAAACTTTATGCATATATTAAAGTATGTATAAATTATATATTATTTGATAGGAATAAGAAATAAAATTTTTTATTTATATGATTAATACGATGTTGGTAGGTGGATATAAAAAGTTATTCATGTATATAATTAATAACAATTTTTGGTAGGTAGATACAAAAAGAAAGTTATTTATGTATAAAATTAATATAACATTTGATTAAAAATTTAGAAACTTATATAACTACTACATAAGTTACCGGGAAATTTGTGTATTATTTATATGAAGTAAAAGGTGAAATAACTAATATGTGAATAGCTAATACATGGATAAAAAATTACCCTTATCACTCCTACTTACTACTTTCTTCTTCTACCTAATTAAAGATATATTTTAATTCAAATAGAACATTAAAACAAGGTTAAAGAAGAAAATAGTATAATTATTTTAAAAAAAGCTGTTAAACTTAAAAATATATAATTTTATTATTTTTTAATAGTAAAAAATACACCCAAAGGAATAATTTATGCATAACTAGACTACACATGCTAAATTTTGCATAGTTAATATCTTCATTAGTAATATCCACATTACTTATATTTGTATATTTAATACCACATTATTAATACTTGTATAACTAATACCCACATTATTAATAAATATTTTTTCTTTCCAACTACCACCCCTAATTGCTTTGCTATGTGATTTTTTGTAGGCGTTATTTAAGTTGTTATTTTGTAGATTAGGTAAACATTATTCTTTTTAAAATTTCACTTATAAAATTACACTAAATATGTTGAATTGTTTTTTTTTTTTGGTAGATTACTAGTTCATTTTTCTTTCCTTTTTCGAATTGCAAACACGTGGAGAAGATGACCTATAAGTATGGAAAGGACAAAGGTTAATACAAAAGGCCTCAATTAAGCATTTTTATGAGTGTGTTATCTAGTTATGATCAGGGTTTGGTGGGAAAGAAAAATATTTTTGAATTTTTTCTTATTTGGTTGGATTAAATGTGTTAAAATATTTTTTTCAAATTAACAAAAAATAAAAAATAGAAAACTAAACTTATTTTCATAAAATGTTTTTAACTTCAATAATTTTACCACACCCTCACCCTCACCCTCACCCTCACCCCTACTCCAACCCCTACCATCCCTCCAAAAAATATTAAAAGTTGTTTTTAAAACATATTTGTAATTTTAATTTTTTACTTTTTTAACCCCCCAATGCCCACACCTACCCTCACCCCAGCAGCCCCCCACCCTCTTCAAAAATATGTATATTCTTAAAAAATATTTTTTATTTTCTATTTTTATTTTTTTAACCTTGACCCTTCCCCCTCCAGCCCTCCTCCCCTCCTCCCCCCTCCCTAAAGAGAAAACAAATTTCATTTTTTCATCCCTACACTCAATCCCTCCCTCTCCACCCTTACTGCTCCTACCAGCCCCTCAAAATTTATTATGTTTATTTTTAAAAAATATTTTCAACTTCAAAATTTTATTTTTTTCACCCCGCTCGTTCATTCCCCACAACAAAAAAAAAACAAACTTAAGTTTGTTTTTTCAAAAATATTTTTTGCTCTATTAAAAATAAAAGATAATTCTCAAATACATTTTTCATTTACATATCAAAGACAAAATCTTTTTAGTAAAAATATTTCTACTCACCCACCAAACGTAAAAAATAAAGTCATTATTTTTCTGAAAAACATTTTTCTTTCGTACCAAACACTCCCTAAGTGAAAAATGTTGATCATATTTCTATTAGTGATTTTGTATAATGCAATAGTATTAGTCGAGAACAAATCTTGTTTTGAGATGCACGATAGGTGTGGAGTGGTATTAATTACTAGATCCTACCTACTCAAACGTCTACTTTACTACTATATTTATGGTGCTTATAATATTAGTTGTTGATGAAGTAAATAATCCATTATGTTATGTATTTACATCTTCTTTTTCTTTAACTTAAATTAAATAAAGAAAGAGGCATATCAAACTTGATCTTTCCACCAAAAGAGGAGACAGAAAGTGATGATATAATTCTTCTTTTATGGAAAAAAGCAAGAAATGAAATATCACAAGACCCTATTATGTCTTACTCACTATTTTTGATTACACAAGAGAATGTTGTTCATCTTCAATTCTAAAATTAGTGAACTTTTTTTTCTATCAATCATAGAGGTAAATGGAAAAATAAAAGAAGACTCTGATAACTTTTTTTCTTTATTAATAATTGACTATGACGACTTGTTATAAATGTAAGTTGTAGAGACCGTTTGCTTTTCATTTATAGATACTATTGTATCATTTGGCATTAACGTTTTCTTCACGTACTATCCGGTAGTCAAGCAACGGTAATTTTGCACTTCTCTGCATGTGCTTAGAAGTATTCCACATTGTATAGTCTTTGTATATGACTTAAATACAACATTATATGACTGTAGTTTGAGATTAAACTCTTTATTGACTTAAAACATATATGCCATATTTATTGAAATTATACTCTTTATTGACTTAAAACAACAATAACATATCCAATAAAACCCCCCTAAATATGGACCAAGGAGGATAGAATGTATGCAGACATTATCACTACTCCGTGGAGATTAAAAGTCTGTTTTGAAGAGGCACTAGGCTCAAGTGCATTAAATCCAAGTAAAAGAACGAGAAAACAATCAAAAAAGTATAGCCGTTGATAAGACTGTTAGCATGATGAAAATCTAAATAAATGTATATTTTAATGTAATTAGATAGGGATATAAATTAGCACGATCATATAGATTTGTTGCAGAATAGAAAGAATAAATATTGTGATAGAATGACAGATTTGGATTGATAGCAAAGCAAATTTATAGGGATTGAATAGCACATTTGTAGAGATTGAATAACTGATCTTTAGAGATAGGAATGACGGATCTTTAGGGATGTGTAATCTTTATTCTCTCTATATAATGGATAACTCTCACTTTGAGAGGCATTCAGCAGAAAATTGACATGGTATCAGAGCCTTCTCTTGGTTGTTTTGGAACATCTTGATTTTTTGTTGACTGTTGTCGGCAATCAGTCCTACCACCTAGGACTTTGACTCTTTGTCATTCTAGTTGCTTTCGTGAGTCTTTGTAGTCATCATAGCTATTCAAAAACATGAATTCACATCACTTTGAAACCTTCAATATTCGTTTCACTAGAAAAAGTTATTCATCTTGGGAGTTTCAGTTTCAATTATTTGTCAATGGAAAAGAACTGTGGGGCCATATAGATGGAAGCGATCCTGCTTCTACTGATACAACAAAGCTAGGTGAATGGAAGATCAAAGATGCTCAGGTGATGACATGGATTCTAGGGTCAATTGACCCTCTTATTGTTCTTAATCTCCGGTCGTACAAGACAGCTAAGGCCATGTGGGATTACTTACAAAAGGTTTACAACGAAGATAATAGCTCAAGACGCATCCCTTTAGAGTATGAAATTGCTAATTACTCTCAAGAAGGTCTATTTGTTCAAGATTATTTTTTGGATTTCAAAACTTATGGGCTAAATTTACAGATATCGTCTATACCAAAATACCTATTGAATCTCTATTAGTGATTCAGGGAGTTCATGATCAAAGCAAGCAAGACCAATTTTTGATGAAATTACGCTCTGACTTTGAGAGTGTTTGCTCTAACTTGATGAATCATGACCCGTCTCCCTCTTTGGATGTTTTCTTTAGAGAATTACTTCGTGAAGAGCAACGTCTTGTCACACAAAATGCTTTCAAGAAAGAAAATGATGTCACTGTTTCGTTCTCAAGGTAAAGGAAAGGGCAGAGATATGACTAGAACTCAATGCTACAGTTGCAAGGAATATTGTCACATTGCTAGCAATTGTAGAAAGAAGTTCTGTCATTATTGTAAGTAACAAGGACAGATTACCAAAGAGTGTCCCACGTTCTATCAAAATCGTAGGGTCAACACTTTTCAAGTTGGATAAATAGTTCCACTGTTGATAACTTATCTTCAGGACAAGTTCTTACTCCTGAAATGGTACAACAAATGATCGTGTCAGCCTTTTCAGCATAGGGATTACAAGGTAATGATGTTACATCTAATTTTTGGATTGTTGATTCAGGTGATTCCAATCATATGACCAACTCAACGAGCATCCTGAAAAACATAGGTAAGTATCAAGGTCCATCACAAATACATATGTTATTGGTAGTAATTTACCCATTACCAAGGTTGGGGATATTACTCCAACTTTCAAGAATGTTTTTGTTTCACCAAAGCTCTCAACTATTCTTATTTCAGTTGGACAATTGGTAATAACAATTGTGATGTGAATTATTCTCATATTCGTTGTCTTGTGCAAGATCAGGTATCGGGGACGATAACCGCGAAGGTCCTAAAGTTGGAAGATTGTTTTCTATACAGTTTTCATTGCTCCTGTTCTATCTTTTACTTGTACTTCTACTGCTAGTAAGACTGAGGTTTGACATAAGCGTCTAGGACATCCAAATT